CTGACGCGCTGCCAACTGCGCCAAAGAGGCCTTGCGTTTATTCGATGTATTTATTATTTCGTTGTTAGGATTTTCGAAGGTAGATTCGATTCAGTGCGATAACCCTAAATTTATTTAGCAGAAATTAGTACTTAAAAAATTCATGTGCATGTACTAAGCAAGAATCGGTTTGCAACCACTCTTGAGAAAAGTTATACTTAAACTGATTGCACGAAAATATGCCTGGTACCCTGCTTTTCTTCAGCAAGCACTTGGCGGCATTCGGCAATAAGTAATAGACCATATTCGCGGCGTCCCCAATTTCAGTCGTATTCGCCAACGTAGTGTATTTAATTGAAAGCGTTAAAGTCAAAGAACTAGACTATATTTTTTTATTCCATTCCGACTCCGCAAATCATCTGGTACCACCCCATTACGGGTATCGAATTGGTACTGTACGTTCAAGAATACGACTGAAATTGGGGACGCCGCGAATACGGTCTATTCTGTGGAACTGAGGCTGGATGAATGGACCGGGAGCACCGTGGTGACGAATGTCACGATGGTGACGATCCATTGGAGTTGGTGGCGATTGAAATTGTGATTGATGCCACTGTGGATGTCGCTGGCGAGCACGATAAACCATAACACTCGATGCCAATATGTCGGCCATGCATGATGTCGTGACGAAATCCTCTGATTCGTGCCTTTGGGGCAAGCTCGGCCTCTGTGGAAACGGGGAACTTATTTACGTTTGCCCATAATGATCTTGAGGGTATTGATCTAATGATGAAAGACAAACATGCGTCGCGTTTGATTAGCGCCTGGTGTGTAGTGACTGTGCTTATGAAATGCGCCTTGTTTTGCCCGGATGAATCTCGCCCTGCATCACGGTCTAATAACCCAGCAACCAGCCACCGTGCGGAAAGCTAGGAGCGCGCTTGTTGTTGGAAGCCGGCCCGCGGCTTGGGGATTCCAAACACGCCACCACGGCATTCATCGCCAGAGACCTCGGAAAACCTGGTGATAGAAAGGTGGGGAGTGTGCGCTTAGGAGAGGCCGGTTGTTGTTGAAGTGAAGGGTGAATTAAAGGCCCGAAGCACCAATGTTCCGCAGGCCGTACCGCCGCCGATCTCAAAGAGGCACTGCATTCCACTTGCGTGGGTACACAAGGGCTGCCCGGTTCGCAAGTGTGACGTCACTCCAGTTTAAACCACGCCCATTGCCCATGCACTGCACTGTAGAGTTACATGCATTGATCCCCGTTTACATGGCATCATGGAACTGGAAGTTAACGCACAACTTCAGCGATCGCCCAATGGGAGCCTGCAAATCGTTGTGCGTCTGCCTTTGTGACGAAGTCACTTACGAACCGGATAAGTGCCAAAAGTCACACTTGATATGGGATGAGATCAGGTCTCCAGTCTAACCTGAACAGCTGTCGAGATTGCACCTAACAGTCATCGTATTCTTCACCTCGTTCCTGGGGGGGGCTTCACACATTACTTTCAACTGACTTATTTTTAGCAATGGCCATTTGCCCTTTCTATCACAGATGAGAACTTGGTCCCAGACCAAAGAAATGCCCCAGCCAGACTGAGTTCACACAAGAAAGTTAATAACGTAGGTTTGGCCCATTCCAAATGAAACAATACGGTGTAATTCGGCCGTGGACGCCCGTGAACAGGTGCCACGCGCTCGTCACATGCCTATTCAACCATAGGGTGGTGTCGTTATTTCCAAAATGCACGTCTGCGTCAGGCTGAAGAATGTGCGTATGAGCGCGTTGCCAACCAGTTTTGGATCAGTCGACATGGAATAAACTCGGAGTCTTTACTCTCCAGCTTTGTTTTTGGGGTCATTCCTAAATTCAGAGGAAATTCTAAGCTAGATTCCGCTTTAAAGTCTCTGATTCACAAACATTAAAATAGACTGACAGATATCATAGGAGAGACTGGATCAAAAATACAAAAGTTTAGAGTTTCGCTCAAGAATTTGGCTGCTATTTGACGAACCCGGGCCTCGTGGTGGCGGGAACACAAGCAGAGACGAGAACCAGGCTAGTGTGTCACGTCAGAAAGCCTCTGCCGCAGGCAGGATGGGGCTGAGAATGCTGCAGAGACCAGGCTAACCTGCGGGGCGAACCGCCCGATTGATTTTCCGATCGGCATGTAGCACTAAGGAATGACGCGGTATAAGCGGGCCCACACACCCCCGAACCACTATCGGTGCAAACCACCTGATTCTCTCCATCAAGTAGCGTGCTGTCCGCCACGCGTGCATCACCGGGCCTGCGCGCCACCTACGTGACGCGATTGTTAAAAGCATCAAGCCACCCGGCAACTTCATTCGATCACTGGCTGTCGTGCGAGCGGGAGAGAGGATATCTTACTGACCGTGCGTTACGGGTGACAGGCTGTGTTGTGCCCGGTCGAAGAGTGTTCTCTAGAGACGCCTGGCTCCATGCAAAAAGGACTACTCGCCATGTGGGAGCTGCAACTTGTTTTTGCTCTGGTCGTCAATTTTGGTAAGTCGTCAATACGCTCCAAATGCCTCTGTTGTGAATATTAAGCTATAGGCCTAGAGGGATGAGTTCAAATCAAATACATTTTGAGATTTGCTATTTATCTTTTCTTTGAAGTCTTGCAAAGCAGGTTGATAAAGGACAAACCAGACTTGTCAGCTTAGGTAAAATGGATGGATAAATCGGTGCTTGCTTATGGGCGTCGTGATTAAGGTACTTGTCATAATTAATGGGAGGGCTGCAGGCAACAATGGAGGCAGGGTATCGATGCCATATGTACTCGGTATGTGCCCGGCTGGCGGTGAAGTACAGCGTGAACGACCCATTATCCACACCACACACTGGCTTCCGGCTCTTTCCCTCTGAAAATACATTTCCTTGTCAGAAGTAGAACCTAACAGTTTCCTGACTGAAGCTTAGCTCTACTATTGTAAAGCGGACACATCTTTATGTTGATTCCACAGAGACAAAACGGGCGTTCCAAAAAAGTGCGCCACCAAGAGTTTGCAACGCGATGGCCAGTCAAAAGCGCGAAATCTGTCGACCTAGCACGCGTTTGGAAAGGGTCGACAAATATCCCGCTTTGTGATTGGCCAACGTGTTGTAAACTCTTGGTGGCATACTATTGTGAATCGCCCATCCCTAAAGATCCTTCTAAAGGAGGACCTAGATGGGACCTTTCATTGATCGAAAACGGATAATCGTTATCATGGGACCACTTAATAGGGTGCTATTTAAAACGCGTCCAATTCCTAAGAGAAACACTCCAGTCTCCAGGGACTCAGTCATCCGCTGATTACATCTCTGATCGTTTTGTGGAAGACATGATTGTTCGATATATGTCTATGAACAGCTCACAAACACCAATTATCTGCTACGACTTTCAGTTCTCCATATACAGCAATCTGTGCGTTGTGAACTGAATCGGTTCCGAATGTTCAACTTGCGCTCACGTTGCGCTACACCAAATACGCGCCCTTAGAGAACGTGCAAAATCGGACCGAAATAGCGCCGCCTGTTGACTCTCGTGAAGAGGTTGGCCTCCGTTTTTATCACTGGGAATAATTCAAGATTATGGCCAGAAGATCACTTTTCGTTTCAATTTCATAAGGGTTAGCCACGAATAATTTTTTCATTCGCCTTTGAACGAAGATCCCCCCAAAATAGCAGTAAAACTAGGCGCTCATTTCTTAATTTAGCCTCCGGCCTCTATCCAAAACTGGTCCGCAATTTGGGGCTTTTTGTGAAAGAAATATCCCGAACTGGAAACTATCTGTCCTAAATTTGGGATTGTTGATAGAAATATTTCTATGATGGCTCCTGATTATGGCCTGTCTTATCGTAAAAAATCCCGTGGGATCACAAAACATTAATGAGCTCGCGCGCAGAAATACAACGATTTGGTGGAATGCACCCTTCAGTCTTCAAAGAGGCGTGGAACGCGCGCATACCACCTGTCCACGAGCGTTGCCCCACCGTAGTTAATGTCTTTGTTGTCGAATTACACTATACGGAGTACTTTACTAACTTCGAAACTTGTTGTCCATGGCGATAGAAAAATAGGATTCCCTCGTGCCTCAAGATCACCACTCAAAACGCCACCCAGAACCAGCTTCAAAGAACCAGCTTCATTCATCGTCAACAAGATTTCCCCTGTGGGACGTTTTCCGGTTGAAAACGGCTTAATATACATATACAGCATCACTTCCTGCGTTTCATGCGCGCTCGCGTTGTTTTTATCGATTCTAGGGGGAAACAAAAATCGATGGATGCATGATTCTAGTCCCGAAGTTGTTGACTCTTTGGTTCAGGGGACACTTTGGGACGGAACCGAGAAGATAACGATGCATACGATATCGGGTAATCA